CCCCGGTCCCTCCCCTGCCACTGTGGGCTGTGGCTGAAGTACAGCCCTGCCGTGAGGGTGAAAGCGCACGGTTTTTACTCCTGATTTCACAGAGAACAGTGCTGGTGATCAGGTCCCTCTGCCAGGACAAGATCAGATGCCCTCGGCTTGCTGAGAGGGATGCGACACAGAGGTTCAGCTCTGGCTCCAGTCTAAGCAATCTCTTGAGTCATCAGCCCTGCCGTTACAAGATCTAAGGAGTCTCAGCTAATGCCACCAGCCCCAGCACAACTGACAACTCCTCCGCCCAGCAGTGTGGAGGAGGACAACACCAAAAGCTCAGTGCCAGAAGCTGCTCCGCTCCTCAGCAGTCATCGGCTCCCGCAGAAACACGATGCGGCCGTGTCTTACTCAGTGCTGGAACCTGCCCAGCCCTCTCTCAGTAGACTCTGAGCTTTCAAAACCAGAGAGCAGTCACATGTTGGTAACTCACACCCCTCAGGATTGTGCTCATCTCCACACTCCGTCCAGGCTTACAGGTACATGAAGTTGCCTCTGGACGTTTTGTGCTCATCCAGCCTTGCACACCGTGCCTAATGCTGTAGTGCCTGGGTGCCTGATCAAGACCTTTCAAATCTCAATTTGCCTCATATATTTAGTTGCAAACTTTCATTTGCCTCTTTTTAAACTGGCAGGAGCAGTAGCAGATTTCCACTGGGGAAGTGCCTGGAGAACAAGTGTGGGGAGGAGCGGCTGAGGGACCTGGGGCTGCTCAGCTGGAGGAGAGGAGGCTGAGGGGAGACCTCATCGCTCTCTGCAACTCCCCGACAGGAGGGGGTAGCCAGAGAGGGTTGATCTCTTCTCCCAAGTATGAAGCAACAGGATGCGAGGAAACGGCCTCAAGTTGCACCAGGGGAGGTTTAGATTGGATATAAGGAAAAACTTCTCCACGGAAAGGGCTGTCAAGCCCTGGCACAGGCTGCCCAGGGCAGCGGGGGACTCCCCATCCCTGGGGGGATTTAAAAGCCGGGGAGATGTGGTGCTCAAGGACAGGGGTTAGTGGTGGGTCTGGCAGTGCTGGGTTAACTGTTGGACTCGGTGATCTTAAAGGCATTTTCTAACCTAAGCAGTTCTGTGTGGTTACCTCTGAACTTCTGTCTCTCTGGACAACATCAGTAAAAGGCAAGAACACTTATTTGCATTTGTGATTGTTTAGAACTTCCTTCATCCTTCATCTTTTACTTTTTTGCTGATTGCATTTGTACTTGTGGGACTAAAAGGCAAACAGCACTCAGGGTGATTTCCTGCTAATACAGAATTCCTTCTCTGCACCCCCCCAAAACAGACCAAAAAAAAAAATCCCCCACAACAAACAAACAACAACAAAAAACAACCAACCAAACAACAACAACAAAAACCAAACAAACAAACAACAACAAAACACCAAAAAAAACCAAACCAGGCAGCTGTTATCTTTTCTCTACCCCTTTACTGGGCCCTGTTGCAGAAAGCCTACCCCTGAATTCTCTACACTAGAGGAACAGGGTCAAAAAAATTCTGAAAACTATCCCATCTTCTTTAAAAAGTTCCAGTGAGTTTTTTCATGACCTTGGCAAGCTACTAGCAGCCCAGATTTCCCCAAAGGCAGGAAACTTGACTACTTCTTTGTCTGGTCTTTTTTGGGAGGGGTGTTGGTTTTTGTTTTGTTTTGTTTGCTTTTGAAAAGAAAACCAAAAGAGCTTTAAATGAAATAACAATGGCACTAATCAGAAAATAACGAACCCCTCCTCACTGCAATCCCCACTGATGCTGCAGAGCAGGCAGCGCTGGGCAAGTCCCAGGCTGGGCTCAGCAGCAGAGGGGAACCAGATTCAGGAGCTGGACTGGGGAACTGGGCTTCCTTTCTTAAGTGCAAAGGAAGATTATCCTTAATCCAACACATAGATCCATAAATATGGTTGCTCCCGAGGCTGTACGGCCCTCATTGAAAAGGTCCTGTACCTCCACCACCTTCTGCAGCAAAACACCAATGAAACTTGGAGGCTATATCTGTGTAAAAAGGAGTCTTAGGGTTTTTTGGGGTTGTTTGTTTGGTTGGGTTTTTTTAATAGGGTAAAGAGAGCAAACCCCAAAAGCAAGCAAATCATGTAATACCTGAAAGTAATCTGTGATGAAGGATCCAAGTTCGCTCTTCAGCAGCCGTCTGTAGACAGAAGGAACGCAGCCATGAGGTAACAGCCAGTGTCGGTCATTTCTTAGAGGTATATCCACGCTTTACCACCACCCATACCAAAAACACAGGACTATATGTGAAGGGGTAATTTTGGCCACAGATTTCTTTCACGTTCGCGTGTATATTCTACAAATGCCCACACAGGCTTTTCTCAAAGTATGAAGTAATGAAAGTTTCCCTGAAGACTTCTATTTATAAGCCATACATCCAGAACATGAATAAAAAAACCCCACCCACCCTCATTTCCCTCCCTGAAGGTACAGAAGCTTGGGGAGACTATTTAGTTTGGAATTCGTCATTTTTTCTGCTTTTTGTTTAAATAAAGGCACCGTTCAATTCACTAAAAGTAGCATATCTCCCTAATGCTCTACTTCCTTTTCTCTTAGAATCAGAAAGTGGGAGGATAAGGAGAAGAGCAACAAAGTAAACACACAAGCAGAAGCTGCAGCCTCCCCATAACTACAAAATTTAAAAAAAAAAAAATCAAAACAAAAGACATGTTTTTCAGGAAAGAAATTCTAGAATAAGTTTAACAAGAGGCGTTTGAAATACACACAGGCAGAAGCTACTCTAAACAACGACATAAACTGTTGGATTTTAAATGGGGCTGCAATAAAATTTAAATTTTAATACATATTTCAAAACCCCAGTATAAAGATCAGACATCAGAAGCATTAAAACAAAAAAACAACTCAAAGTTGAGCATTTGCTCTTTCAGTGACTGTGAGTTATGCTCACTGCAGCAGTAATTTCTGCCTAAAATTTAAAAGGTGCCCAACACTATGCATTTTTTTTTTTTTTTGCTGTTCTACGACTTTTGCTTTTCACCAATGTGAAGTATAATCAAGCGTGCATGAAAATGGCATTTGAATCGGGGACCATCCAGTTCCCAGGCTGGGTTCTTGGAGCAAACCACACCACTTTTTCCTGATCTGTGCTGAAAGCCAATTTTGACGGCAACCACCCTCCTCCCTAACCCTTTTGTAAATCTATTCTCATGCCAGCATGCCTTTACTCTTTCTCTCAGAGCGGTTATATTCACCACACTCTTCTCAAATTACATTTCTATGAGATGGGTAAATCAGATTAGCCTTTGGGAGCCCGTTTGCTCTTCCGTCAGCTTTTGGAGAATCCATCGAGCTCCCCACCAGCTGGCAACCAGAGGTTCACACCCTAGAGAGAACCCAAGGAGAGGGGTCTCCTCCTAACCACGGCCAGGTCACCTCCTGCTTCCTGAAATCCCGTCTCCCGATGGTGTTTCTTACATTTCCTCTTGCTGTGACAACTGACTTTCAGAGTAAGGGGGAAAAAAAAAAATAATTGGAAAGGCATCCAGTGAGATGGACGGACAGCAACGAGCCGGTCGGATGTTCAAGCAGCCTATTTAGAGAATGACATTTGGAGATGTAAGCAATGCTCAGGCCACCTGCAGGAACATTCATCACGTATTTCAAGAGGAGCGCTCCCAAGGCCGGATCCACTTGAGGAACCCAGACGAAGAAAGCACGGGCCAAGCGCTGGGGCCAAGCCCAGGCAACGCGACTCTGCTCCCAGCGAGGGTGGGGACAAGCACCCACCCGCTCGCACCACATGGCCGCAGCCACCACCGCAGACAACAGTCTGGCAGATGAATCGCGAAACCCGAAGCTGGTCCCCTGAGGCCACCAGCAGGCTGTGGGCTGGGGTATTTCCAAAGTCTGGCAGCATTTGCTTTTCTTTTCACTTACAGAAATACTCAGCCCGTGAAGAATTAGTCCTTAGAACTAACTGCACAACTTCTGACCTGAGCACACTAAAATATCCATTAATGTCCGAGATGCCACCCTCACAGCTCTTGAAAGGAGTTATATTAAACTTTTCCCTCTGGGACCAGACTAAGCAGGACAGACTTTCATGCCCCACAAGCTGCATTATTTTGAAAGGAGGGAAAGGGGTAGCTGACACCGCTGCTTAGCCCAAATTGCCATTTGAATCCTGGCACTGGGGAAAAATGCAGTAGGGATGGGGGGGGTATATAAAAGAAGAAGCAGAGACCTATGTGACAGCATTCATGATAAATCAGTATGGATGTGCAGGAAAGAGAAAAGAAGTAGGAACTACATCCATGAGCTCTGACAATACTCTTAGCTGCACCTGGAATCAAGGCAAGAATAAATTTTCCTTATCCACTCTACAGACCTATCTATTGCTAACTGAACTTTCCAAATAATCAGAATGAAACCACAGATAATCACGAAACCTGCTTTAAAAAAACCCGATACTCTTAATCATCACTAGCATCAGCGTTAGAAAATGTTTGTTAGGCTTTTAGGCTTTTAGTTTTTTATCTTTAGGGTTTGTATTTTCATATCTTGCTCTGCAATTACCACGTGAAGATTAAGCTTTCAGATGAAATGCTGTGTTTTGCTTTCATTTCAAACAGTCCACAGTTCTGAGAAGCTTGGGTTTAGAGAAGAGATGTTGCTACCATCAAAAATGCCCTAATAAAAATGTGTAAAAAACAGCCAGCAGAGGCAAACTCTGTAGGAGGGCAAAAATTCCTTTTAAGCTAAGTCAAGACACATCCTGTCCTTGTCAAAGCTACACATGCACACAAGTCAAAGCAACATTTTCCAAGTGCCTCACACCAATCACTCCACCCTATAGCAAAAAAGAAGTGAGTTAGCTTGAAACCCCAAAGCTGTGCTGAATTTTCCTTCAATCCCCACTCCTTCCACCAGTAACTCTAACCGCCATAATGTAGGGGAACAAGCAAACACCAAAGAAGCAGCAACAAAAATCCCTTTTCATGGATTTCGGCAACCTACCTGATATTTTCGTTGAGGGTGTAAAGCTCATTGTTCTGCAAGCCTCCCCCTTTGAACACATTTATCACTGCTGTTTGAACACTGCCAGAAAAGAAATGAGACAGTACAACGTCCATAAATAACAGCCAGCGGTACGATTTAACACGGAGCACAACGTGAGCTAGCCGCCAAGAGCTGAGTGCTTATAATGGGTGGAGAGGTTAATTGCACTTAAATACTTCCACTCGTTCTCCCCTGGAAATCATCACTCTTATTTACCTACATCTCTCACGGGAGACAGAGCAGAACCAATCTCACATTGCGCCTAGAGGAAGCGAGGGAAAGTCATTACAGGGACATCGTTCACAAAGAACGTGTTCAAACCAGGCAGAGCTGTAAGTGGGCTGTTCAGAGGATCTCTGCTGTGTGCTGCAGGCTAGCTGCTAGGAGGAGACATAAATTTTTGGCAATATCTACCAAACACATCACGTTGCATTATCCTGCGAGACCAGCAGGAACCATCCAATCTGCAGTGTCTGGCAGGACCCTGGCTGTGCTGGAAGATGCTCTGCAGCCAGCATCACCTCAGACCCATCTTTACGCCCTGTTAACACTTGTGAGGTGGTGTTGGAGGATCTTCTAACTCACACTTCTCTCACCAGCACAGAGGAAGTCATAAAGTGACAGCATACAAGATGGTTTAGCAGGTCTGAAGGCTTGTGACAGATAACAACAGGAGGTGGCATTTCCTCCTGTGGGTCACTTACGGCATTTGCATGCTTCAGGGACCTCAGCTCACTCTCCTGGCACAAAACTGTCATGGTTTTGCCCAGCTACGTTTGTGCAACAGAAGCTGAGCTAGGTCAACAAGAGAGAGGGGTCTGCCCAACGCAGAAGGGAAGTGGAAACACCCACGCTTGGTAGGAGCAGACTATTAGGTCGGATCAGGACCCCTCTCTCTACAGCCTACACGTCGTTTTTCCAGTTGCCATCGCTGTGCGACAGCACCGCAGATGGGATTGGGCAGGCAGTGGTAAAAGCCACAAGCTTAGCAGGTGTCAGAGGAACTTGATCGTGGTAAAACCTTCATAATATGCAAATAAAAGCCTGTTAAGCATTAAGAAACTGGCCTTTATTACAGTACTAGGAATGTGTTTTCCTAAACGGTGCTTACAAGATGCAACTGTTAACAAATAACAAAGAGCAATTCTAGTTTACTTCAAGAAGTACCTCTGAACAATGTTGGCCAAAACCAAGGCTGAACACAACTAGGTCTAATTTTTTTCACCTCCAAAAGCTTGGGCATACCAAAAAATTCATGCATGCTTATAACCAGACAAGCTTAACCATAAATGGTCTGAAGCACAAAGACCAGACGTCCATGGCCCTTATGGTGGGCGAAAGCTCAGCCCGGGTGGGCCCGGCTCACCTGTTCCAGGCAGAGTTGGAGCTGAGCTGCAGAGCCTGCCGAGCCGCTTGGAACCGCGGCAGGTCGCTGAGGACCGGAGAGCTCATGAAGCGAGGTCGGGGCCTTCTGAATGAACCCATCTTGTGGAGCTGGAGAGCAAAGGACGGAGCTACAGTGAACCCCCCAGTCATAGAGTCAGGTGGAGTGGAGCGGGGCGGTCAGAAAGTCTCTTCTCTTGGAGGTGCAAACACCAATCTCAGGAATGGCGAGTCTTCAAACCCAAGGGCTCGGCCTGCAGCAAAAACAAAGAATCAGCCTTGGACTAGCAGTCCCCCACAGCATCAGGCTGTGACGTGGCCACGCACTGCAAGGCCATGAAGGAATTGATGCAGTCCTACAAAGCGAAGACAAAGGAAGAGAGCAAGGCAGAGGGGAACACATGAAAATATCCTATCCCGTTAACAGTAAATTTGAGCAAATCTTCCCATGTTCTTCAAGAGCAGATCCCTGTCCTGTCTTCCCCCTTAAATAACGACCAAATACAGCCAGCCAGAAACACAGTCGCGGTCTTTCTTTCCATTTGAATCAGCAGAGATACAAGAACCGAGGTGCCTAAACTCTTCTGCCAGAGGCACTTTCAAAATACCTTTAAACTCAGCCTCCATAAAACTGCAGAAACTGGAGAAAAAACTCTTTAACCATAAAGGAACAAAAGATGAGCAATGGAAGAAGAGATAAACAGACAAACACAATGCTTTTTTTGTTGTTTGTTTGTTTGTTTTATAATTGTTGTGCAAGGGAATAAGCCCACACGTTGTCAGTCCATTACAAAAAGGATACAATAGAGACCTTCTGCAAAAGAGGTCTAACAACCAGATATTTTGAGACTAAGAAGGATTTCTGTTTGTTTTGTTTCCTACAGAACGAGAAGTAATTGCTAGGCCAACTACAAAATGCCTGTATTTTCCACTCTATCATCTCCATATAGATGAATATTTAGCTCCAAGTAAACCACAGAAACAGAAGTTAGCTTGGATAAAAACCACAAAAAACATTTTGGCAAAGCTTCTGTACTTCAAAATTTACCCTCCCGAGATGAATACAAGCAGTAGATGTAGCTGGCAGTTTGGAGAACAGAGATGTGGGACAAAGGAGAGGGGAGGAGGAAAATGAAAAAAAAACACAAAAATCCCAACAAAGTTGTGTAACTGAGCTGCACACAAGAGATGTGGAACGAAATCTTCTCTTATCCACTATGTATTCAGCATGAGGCAAAAAAAGAGATGGTCAGTTGAAAAAATGCCATATCTGCCTAGTGCTTCTAGTTCGACTAGTGCCCAGCTTCAGCAAACCCCACTCCCCAAACCATAAGAAACACTTTTCCATGTAAGAGAACAGCTTTCTGCCCACCCGGCCCAGCTCCGTTTCACACCGAGCTCGCTTTGCTCCCCCAGCTCTGCCCAACCTCGTCAGATTCTGATCAGCCACCATGAAGCCCTCTCAAGCCACAGGCACCACATGCCCCACTGCCGAAGAAGCTGACAGAGAAAACACCTCATTTTTTAAGCACCGAAATACTTGGTGCTCCTCAGGAAATAAATACGGTTGTTATTCCCCCACAAACTAAATACAGTTTGGAACTGGAACATGGCTCCACGTGCAACTTTTTTACAGATGACAAAGCCCAGATGGTCTTTCATGACATGAGCTTAGCCTTGACTGTTTTGCTTGAGAATCTGTTGATTCCATGGCTGCTCTGCTCCAATTTAAGATCAAAAAAATAAAGTCATAACTTTTAGAAATTAAGAATAAATGTAAACTAATGCCACCAAATTAGCAGGGTCTTCTGTGTGCATTTTGAAATAACAGTTCCTTTGACATTGCCCAACATTTTCAGTCTGCCAGCAATTTCTCTGTTGGCAGTTGTAACCACATTAAAATAGAGAAAAAAAAAAAAAAACAACCCCAACTACAGCACCTTGGAGAGCCGAGGGCAGGATTTCTCACAACATACCAAAAGGTGTCTGGGAGGCAAAGTGTAACGGATGGTTCTACTGCAAAACAAGCGCTTGTGCCAACGCTTGTCATCTCCAAGTTCCAAAGCTGACACCGTGAGGAGCCGAACGAGCGACGGCTCGCCTGTCCCAGCAGTGCCGTGAAATTTCTAGCTTAACAATTGGCACGCAGGGAAAGCAGTATATATTTTTCAGAGCCATAAAATGCAATGTGTTACTTTAGATCAGTTGTAGGCATTGAGTAGGGCTAGAAAGCACCATTTCAGATGTCTTTGCTAGCCCACGAGCCACCCCTTATCACAATTACAGGGGCTCTAAGGGCATGCACGTATCTTTCTCCCTAGCAATGAAATCATTTTATAAAGCTGCATTTACTTGAGTTGGATTAAGGTGCAAGGTGAAAGCTTAAATTCAAAAGTATAAATTGGGAGAACAGCCTCTGTCCCTTAATATACCTGTCTTTAAAGTTTGTGCAGAAAATTCTGTGGCCCATTCTGTGCAAGCAGTAAACCGGCACAATCAGGAAGGTCTCTCCTGAGCTTGGGCTGTGGATTTGTGAGGCTGATTCCACAGCAGCAGAATCGCGGCATTACATGGAGCCTTGTGACAGATTTCCTGAACGCTGCTTACCAAGGGAACGTGCTTGTTTCTGCTCACGGAGACGCACGTGTTGTTTTGCTTAATCTCTGTTAAAGTCACCTAGATAGATAACAGGCTCTTGTCTGAAAAGAGCAGATAAGACACCCCTCTTCACCCTTCCTCCCCTAAGCCCAGCCGTCAAGCCCAGGTTACTGTCATGTCAACCTTTACTTCAGTTTCTCATCAGGAATTTAAGACAAGATCTTCAGCTTTAGGACCACAGTCAGCCTCTTATTTTCATTTCTTCAGGATTCAACGATACAAATCTATCTTCTCTAAACTATTAAATGGCAGGAACAGCAAACTGTTACTCAGAAGGCAGGTTAGCCACCAAAGAGCATCCAAACATAACTGACCCTCTTATCATCAGAAATGCAAATGCCAAAGCCTGTGAGAAGGACCAGCCTCTCCCCAGGGCCACAGTCTATTTAAACTATTTCCAGAGTTTCATAAAGCTCAAAAGTAACAGAGCATTTACCAGAAAAGAGATTTTTGGCACAAGCAGTTTGCAGACCCTGTGCACCTGCAAGTACAACAAAGCATCCAAATGCTTCTATCAGAACAGATTTTCCCTTCCCAGCAACTAGTTTCCAGCAAAGCTTTCCCCAAAGCAAGGCAGCCTTGCAAGCACTGCTTCATTTTTTTGCAGGGAGGTTGCATTAGCAGCTTGCTGGCAATGCCCACGGTGTGCATTCTGCAGCGTGCAAGTTTTTGGCTTTTTACTAAGAGAAATAACCCTTGTGGCAAGAAAGGCATTAACATAGTTATAGGTTAGTAAGTTAGTATGAATGGTATTCGGCCTATTTTAGCTATTGGGAATGAACAGCATTTAGCAAAATGCTGAGGGTAGCAAGGCACAATTTTCCTTTTTGTTCTGCCATGAAAACCCTCACAGAATTACACAGAAATACTCAGATACTGTCCTCCTAGAGGCCTTCGGTCCAAACTCCCTCACATCTACAGTCTCCTTTCCTTAAGATTAAAGTGGTTTAGAAGACTACAGAATAAAACCTACCTCTAATAGTCACAGTCCTATTATTTATCAAGCACGGAACTAGAAAAGGCTTTACAGAGCAGCAATTATTATTCTTCCCTTACAAAATGAAGGGAGACACCAGGATGCAGCATGTTCTAACCACCAAGCAACACTCTCGGCATCGATCATAAAAGGCACAAAGACCTGAAGACTGAACTTCGTGCGGCATCCAAGCATCTCAAAACACTTGCCAGTTGACATATCCCCAAACATTTGCCACTCTCCTTCTCATGCTCAACAGCTCTGCACATCATTTTTGGCAAGAAGCTTGTCATAATTAAGTCAGAGAGAAAAGTCTTGCTCTTACTTCCCTTCCAACTGCCCTACTCAACCATCAAAACCCTCTAGATCTCTAACAAGGGAGATAAGTCATCGGAGGAAAACCCAGGTCTTTGAGTCAGCAAACTCTTCAGAGCTGGAAGTCAATGTTCTCGACTTGGGGAGAGAACCAGGATGATGAGTCAATGTGACAACAATGTAATTTCATCCACTTGTAATCCATCGCATCTGAGTAAACACTTTTCGGATTAATCTGAATCTTTCGAGAGAAGAATCAAGCATGGAGACAAATCCTTCTCCAACTCACATAGATACAAACATTTATAAAAACATCACAGTCATCAAGCTGGGAATTCTTTATTGTTTGTTTTCCATTAGTCATGAAAACCAACAGAAAAATCATTATAAAATGATTTTGTGAGAAGACCTTTCCCTCGCTACAGACCATAATACATCTCACTGTCTGGAGGAAAAGTCAGATCAGGCAACACACCTAGATCTCTCTCTCTGTTGAGGAATAACTCAAAGAAAACATTGGCAGCAATTCCTCCAAATTACAAATCATGATAATCTTGGGCTAAACAAATAAGAAGTCCATAACTGAGATATAACAAGAGAACAGACCATTCAAAATTCCTCTGATGCCCTCTCTGCAAGACTCAGAGCAACAGTTGCTAATGGAAGTGCCAGGACAGAAAAAAAACCCAAACAAACAAATAAAAAAGGGCAGAAAAATCTCACTGTTCTTGCTTCTTAGAGGAATGTTTGCACCAATGCTACTTCACATCGAAGAGCCACAAGTCAAAAAGTAACTTTAACCTAGATGGCAATGGAGGGAAAGGGAGAGTGAAAAAATCACAGGAGCCTCAATTCATCCAAACCAGCATTTTCCCAGGTCTCCTGAAACAGAGCAACAGAGAACGAGGGGTTACCCCGATATAAAAGACGTTTTAGCATTTAAAACACTTTTTAGTGTTAAAAAAAAGCATCCCCTTCATGAAGAAAGATATCCACTTGCCCATTTTCATCTTCACACGCTTTGTGCAACCGCGTGACACCAATGACCTATGACTGTAAGATACACAAACTGGATACTGCAACATGCACCAGAATTTTTTCCAATGATTTTGGGCATGGAAGAAGCATAACATTAAGAAAAATCCCACATTGTACTAGGCTTACAGACCCATAATGAGCAGCTTCATCCTACCGCAGACACAAA